TCTGTGGAGATCTTCCGAGATATGCGAGTCTTTTCTACGGAAGCCCTGCAGTGTACAGAAAGCGGTGGGACGTTCTGCTTGAGCGGCTAGGGATCTCGCAGTCGTTTCGTTTGACTCCTGGGTCTTTACGAGGCGGAGGGGCCGTTGCTGCCTACCAAGCTGGAACTGACATCCCAACGCTGCAATGGAGGATGAGGCTCCAACATCAGGCGACCCTCGCCTTTTACCTCCAAGAAGTGGCAGCCGGCTCTATACTGCCGGCTCTCCCGAAGCATTCACGTGAAGCCATCGCTACGGCCAAGGCCTTCCTTCCGGTCTTTATTGCTTCTGCCCAGCGCTCTTCTGCCAGCCCTCCGGGCTTGACTTCAGCTGGCCGGGCTTGATGGTGGATCAGCTGGAGCGCTAAAGACGGCGCACGCAGCTGGATTCCGAACCTTGTCTTGTTGCGGAGCAAAAAGACCGAAAGCGGTGAAGTTGGAAACATGAACGAGCATGTTTCTATCGAACCGCAGATTTTTGGGCCCTCCCGCCCACCCTGATCAGCTGGAGCGCTAAAGACGGCGCACGCAGCTGGATTCCGAACCTTGTCTTGTTGCGGAGCAAAAAGACCGAAAGCGGTGAAGTTGGAAACATGGTGTTTTCTTTCGTCCGATGCTGCTGATGCCTGATGTCAGAGGTGCGCACAGCATCTTAGTGTTCTACCTAGTCGCACCAGTCCTTGGCCTCAACTATCCTCAACTGTGTTTCGGCTCGTACATGTACCGGCGGAACGAGAGTGGATGGATGCATATGGGTGCCCACGCAGCCAATCAGCCACCAGCCCACTTGACAAGACTCTCGTCACTCTCGTCGTGTTTGTCAATAATGTGTTAAAATCCAATGCAAACAACATGCAAACATCGCAAGGTTGAAAACCAGGACAGTGCTCAGCAGATCTAGGTCAAGGGTAAGTTGTCGCGTCCAGTGATGGCGGCTCGCGATCTGCAGACCCTACGCCTTCGTACAAGGCGGATGGGACGATGACACGTCCTCCAGGTCAAGAACCTCCAGATGAGTTCCGGTCTCAGACGGCAAAAATGCTTCCTTACATTTCAATCTGGTGCTATTTTTCTTGCAACCTCCTGTCCCAAAAGCATGGGAGTCCTCTACCCATGTTCCTGATGTCCTACGCACTTGAAACTATCGCTCGCCTTGTCTCCTGAGCTGGAAATTTGCAGGCAAGCGAATGCCCCACGGCAACGGTATGAAAACTTGAATAGACCCGTCGCGGCGGTCCGGAGGCAAAGGTACAAGAGCCGTGAATTTGGCTGGTCAGAGGCGGCGCAGACCTTTTGGAAGTAGGCCCTGCGAAGAGCCGGCAGAATCCTAAAGACGAGCGACAAGAGTTGGCGCTCTCAGGCTCGCGTCCTGGTCGCATGATCACATGCCACTCAGACTTTGGTCCTGCGATGCCCTTTTGCAATCCCTGTTCGTTTGTCATGCCATGCCATGGAGGAGAAGCTGAAAGGGCAGCATGACCGGTTCACCGTTCGCGTTGCTCTGCATTCCATCACGTCCTGTCAGCGAAGCGAACCCTCAAAAGGGACAAAGCAGAGTATGGTGACGTTTGACCACAATTTCGAATTCCTCGGACTCTAGCGTGAGTCGAGACCTGGGCTTCTTGCATCCGACCCCTTCCGGCCCACCCGACTTCTGGACTCCCTGAAGATCCCTGAAGTCTACAGGATGTTGAGCTGAAAACTCCGAGGCTGTGGAGATCCCACGATGCATCTGAATACCGGGCCTCCAGTCCAGATACACTCGCATCCGGAACACATTCCGGTGGCACTGTGCCCTGCTTGCACAGAAAAGTGTATGGACAGGGGCGAGCGGCGTGAACGACAGCCCAGGATGAGCTTCAAGAGGACGACGGGGAGGACGGCGTGCTGTTCCGTGCATCAACTGCAAGGTCACTCAACCGGAGGCTCGTCTGGATTATTCAGGATGCTCCTTTCCTGTGGCCGCGCTAGCGTGCAGATTGGATTTGCAAGGTAGTGTGCATAGTTCAAGACGTTTCGTTTATGCAAGAGAACAGTATGACACTGCTTTTCGGGCTGGCTGCAGGCGTATGTATGTGCATGTGACACCACGGTTGCAGCTGAATTGAGGGATGATTAAAACCCCCGAAAGCATGTTTTACAGTAGATGCGCCCGTATTTTGAGAGAAATCGAATTCCTTGTAAAACGATAAAAGCAAAAAATAGCGATAACGAATATTCGTACAATTAGCTCAGATCATGCAGTCCCAAAGTCCTGTAAAACGATAAGAGTAAAACAAAACGATAACCATGTCAAGGGTCAAGCAAATGTGTGGGGGGTTTTCATGCACCCTCACTTCTTGAACCCTGAACTCCCACTCCCTGCATGAACAGCGCGGACCTTGGCTTCTCCCAGTACTTACAAGCTGTTGACTGCACTTAGCTACTTGTCCCTGGCTCGCGCGTGGTGAGACCACCCGCAGAGACACTACAGAAGTGTCGTGCGACCAGCTAAGGCAATCAGAAAGGCTGTTTCCCGGTAGCACATAATGAGATCATCTGTGTTTTGCACTCGCGAGTTAGCTGGGACCCTCTGCCTTCAAGCAGAGCACGCAATCTGCCTCTGCAGCCTGCCACTGCAAAATGCTGATGGTGCAGACCCTTCTCATTCGTGTAAAGTCTATAGCCGGTTGTTACCACACTATGAGTGAGGCAGCTGTGGCAGTCATTAGTAATCTTTTGCGCATCCATGCACATCCCTGTGTTTGCAGTCTCGTGTCCATGACTGCTTCAAGTCGCCGTGTCCTAGGGATGACGAAATGCTGGCGTGCCGCAGCTGCAATGGCATCATGCTTTGGTTGGCGGTGTGACAGTGCATGCGTCGTTCAGATGTCCGTGCGCGCAAATGGAGTAGATGCCGGGGACAGGCAGGTTCAATCTTAGGTATCTCGCCATCACCTGTTCCACAAAGCAGTTCACCGCCGATGCCAGTTTTCGTAGCAGCAACTGCTTCGAAGGGCGCTACGTTGCAAACGTGCACGTGATGACCACGTTTCGCCAATAATGCTGATTTCAAGAAAGGCGCTGTTCGTGGCCAGTCTTGCTGATTCTGGCACAGGTCGGAAACCCTGCATGAAGCGCATGAAGCGCACCACAAGTCAGAGGCAGGGTTGCATCCTTCTTCATGAGTTCATATTCGGGCTGGCTAAGATTTGCACAGCAATACTTCTCCTCATCGCTGCGATCAAACAGCGGATGTGAGCTGAGTCGCTGAACTGCCGCAGTACCTCTGTTGGATGTCCAGGAGCACAAGGTGCAGCTTGCGTCGCAGAAAGCGGTGCCGCTGGCATCCTGCCCTCGAGCTAGAGCAGGGTTAGGTTGCAGATTCGGCATTTGAGAAGGTGTGGGAGGCGGCTCAGGGGGTTGTACGTGCAGAGAGCCTGGTAATTAGAATGGGACTGAGGTGGAGACGCAGTGGTTCGCCACGATCATGGCCACCGTGGTTCTGACCAACTCGGTAGTCATTGGTGCTTGGACAGCAGACGGACATGGGCATGGCGGCATGGCTGTTCAAAGGCTTCTCTCGGCATCCCTGGGCTTTGCAGCATTCGGCTTTGGACCATGGAAGTGCAGGCAATGGTAGCTTGCCTAGGCTGAACCAAGTCTCTCATGGAAACTACCTTACCTGCGGTTGCACTGCTGTGGGTCTTTCTTGTGCTCAATTACACGGAAGTGAGGCCTGGAACTGGAGCTGAAAGATGTGGCGCCGGCTGTGTTCTCCATCACCAACAACGGGTTCCTGCTGATCTACATGTGCGACGTGGGTGCAATCAGTGACTGCATGGAGAGGTAGTGGAAAAAAGAGCTGTACGGCGGCCCAGCATGGGAACTGCCCAAGGTGAAATCTTTCTCCGATTCTTGGCTCGCGGCCTTCCAGCCATCAAAGATCCTCTTACATGCAGCAGCCTGAGCATCCTGAGCCTGGCCGAGGCTCTACAGGCTCTCTTTTTTGTGGAGTGCCGAAAATACCTCCGCCCAGTATCAGCCCTGTGCCCTGCAGAAAGCCCAGGCCTGGATATCGCACTGGTGCTCTTAACCTTCGTGGAACGCATGGCTGCGGGGGCTTCCATGGCCCGGTCATTGCCATCCATCCGATTGCTCAGGCCACTGCAGTGAAGCATCAGTATGAGATGGTGCAGATGTCATCGCAAACGAGGGTGAAGGTACTGGCGTGGTCATTGCCGTCTCTGCGTGGAGCTCTTGCTTAGTCTCTTTCTCTCTGCATGGCTGCGTGACAGGTTGCTTCGGCTTATCCGTGCCTTCAAGAGCATGTCGAAGTCAAAAGAGCTGATCGTATTGCTTGGTGGCACGAGCAAGGCGGCCAGGACTCCCATGTACTCGGGGCACAGAGCAGCCGAAGTCCTTGATTGCCGCTCCATATGTTACGGTCTGTTACGGTGGAAAGGACACTTCTGTGGACAATCTTGTTCTTGTTCTCCATCGTATGGACCGCTGGTGCTTGTACACGGCAGGCCGGGTCCTTGGTCTGAGGGCCTTTCAGCGTTGCAATGTCTTCCAGCCCAGCGCCTTCGATCACTTTTTTGGGAGGTCATTGGGAGATCGCCGGTCTGGAACGGCAGTGACTCTCCAGCAGAAGCCGAAACAAGATCAAAGAAGTTTCCGGCAGATTCAGCACAGTGCCTGACTACATCTTACCCCTCGAGCTCCCCTACCTCTGCTTTGTGCTCCGACCCTCTGTGCAGGCACCAATCCGCTTCAAGAGTTTGAGCCGTTCTCAACTTTCGACAATCGCGAATACTTTGGAAATATTTGGATGAGTTGCTCAGTTGAAGAGTAGGATGGTAGGGTGGCTGCATGCATAGTCTCGAATGGTAAAGTACTACTGTTCTGCCAGCCAAAGGAATCAAGCATGTCTGGATGCATGCCTTCAGACTTGCCTGTGCTCACGTCATCGACTGGTGCATGTCATTTGTTGTCCCGAGGCTTCTTAACGATGTTTCAAGTGGTCACCAACGCACAGTGGGCGGACCATGTTGGGCGACCAGTGGTTTTCAAATATCCCGGTTTGGCAGCTCGGCGTGCAAAGCAGGAACTTCCGCCGTGAACCTTCGGGTAGCAATTTTTTCCGGGGATGCCAAGGCAAGGGCAAGGGTAGAGAGTAGGCCAGGTCTGGCAATGTTGGACTTCAATTAGCCTCACCGTCTGAGACTTTTGACACGAGTACTGTAGGCATAGCGGTCTAGCGTGGGTTGACTTCGCGCAACACTTGGGAGAGACGCATCGCGCACACTTTGGACCGTCTGCGACCAACGACGATGCTCTCTTTCAAAGAGGAGCAACTCCAGAATTTTCGAGAAACCTGCATGGATCAGTGGCTGGAACTTGGTGCAGTTGAGCTTTTGTTTTCCGATGCGGGGGTTAAATGTTTCAGCACTGGTACATGGGCAGGTAATATCAGGTAATGTTCTCCTGCGTAGTACAGGCCGCATCACGGATGGGGCGGAACAGGGCATCTCCGAAGTGTCTTTCTGTTGTGCTCACACATCGCGCACGGCCCAAACACTGACCATGAAATGCTCGCTGTAAGGTGTCTTGATACACTCTGTGTTTGCCGCATTCCAGAATGTGCGTTCCCGACTAGAGTGCCAGCTTTCAGCCGGTCCACTGAGGCCGTCTTCTTTGCCTTCTTCTTGTTGATGACCACTTTTGGCTTGGCACTCCGCCTTGTTATGTGCGCTTGAAGTTGGCTCGGTTGCTACATTGTCGACTAGAGAACATACCTTCCTGGCCTGCCTACTTCTTGAGAAAACGACGTGGTGTTGAAGCCGCCTATGGCCTATAGTTTTGAGGGCATCCCACGTCTTGGTCATGCCAAAGCTTCTGTGATGAGGTGACGTGCATCGTTTCAAACATCGTGCAGGCACGCAGCATCATGGCTCGGTGTTCACGTGCTAGGCGTGGTCGTTGTTTTGCAGGATTCCTTGGAGTCATCGCGAGCTTTCGAGAAGGCTTTGAAGGAGATCGAGCGAGAAAATCGCCACCAGACAGCTCAGTTCAGTGGTTGGCTTTAAAGGCAGCGACTTTCTGTCACTGTGTTATACAAGGACGCCTGTCCGGCCTCAGAGCACGACGCCTGCTGTTGCTCATCGATGAGGCAGTCGGCTCAATGGTGAAACTAGAGTAGACAGCAGCTCGGTCGGCCTTTGCGACAAGACCGTCAAAGTCAACCCACCAGAGTAATGCACCGAGCTTGAAGCCAGGACGGCGACGGCGAGTTGAGTCTAACTGACTTGGAAAAAGCCTTGGAAAACGAGGCGAGGCCGTCCCAGAATCGCATGAACTCCTACTTCCTGGTCTGCACCTGAACAGGAATTCGTTGAGATCCTGAGGCTCCTGGAGGTGCGCCTGGGGTGGGGCCAGTCCAGTAACCCGACGGAGTCTCGACAGGTCCCTGTCATGAATGCAGAGAATCTCATGCGACTGTTTGACCGCGTGGGGCGCAGCTTGGCGGGTTCTGCTAGTTTGAATCGTCATTTCCTTCCAGGGAACCGACGGACCTAGAACCTGGACGACGCAGCCGCTGTTGAGACATTGGCATGTGTGCCCAAATGCAAAATCAAAGGCGGACAGGTGAGCTTTACAGAGCAACTTGGCTGCACATTCCCAATGTGGGGGGTAACACCAGAGATGCTTCAGGGGGGCTGGTTTCGTTCAGCAACTTGCTACGCTGCTACATGTAGCTGGTACATCTCGTCCTGTGAAGAAACTCGGTGTACAATCACCTGATGGCATCCATTTGCAGCCCAGATTGGTGGAAGGCATCACTTCCATGCTTGAGGACAGTGGTTGCCCGCTTCAACGCGGAATGAGAGGGAGAGAGCAGCGGGGAGACGTAATTGGAGGGATCCAAGCTCTTCGTGAGCTTCATGTCGAGACCTGAAGCTTTGGCCCGCGTCGTGGGGAGCAAAGCTGCGAAAGCGCAGGAATAACGGAGTCCGGAGAGACCATGCACACACCGCACCCCACACTGTACGCACAGATGCATGCAGACACAGACATGCAACATTTACAAGTTCTGCAGCACTACCACTACCCGAACTTCCTTACGCGGTCGCCCATCCACCGAACTTTGGCACAAGCCGGAACAACAGAGCTCGCAGGTAAAAGCTGCTGAACAATGACACACCAATACGCACTGGACACGTGTAAGAGATGCCCATTGCCACCTGTTTGCAAAACCCAGTCGCAGAATTGTCAGCATCAGTGGCCCCGGACTTCACTTGTTGCACATCGTTGCAGACTTACAGCCCTCAAGATGAACCGGGCGCTCCGAGCATGCGCAGTCGCACACTTTTGCAAGATCTTACCCAAGACAAGAACAGTCAGCACACCGAAGCCTTCTGTCGCTCAGCAATGCCACGACAAGGCTGTGATGAGCCCCAGTGAGCTAGTGCTGCAGCTGAAAGCAGCACCTCACGTTATCACAATGGAACCGAGACTGCACCGCCAAATCAAACTAGAAGCTAACATCTACGCGCATGTTGGCCGCATGTTCGACAGAAAACGAAGAAGAGCTGTGGACAAGTCACAGTTACGGTGCAGTAGTTGGTAGTTGGTACGTGCACTTGCCGTGGCTGGCACGATTTCAATAATGAGTGAACTGTTGCAGTAAGATCTTCGGTGTTGTGCATTCTCATGATCTAACCTCAAAATTCTTGATGTACCTTTGCATTTGTGTGTGTCGCATGACGCCGGCATGCACATGTGGCGACATGTATGTAAACATTCCGGGCAACCTGGAGGATTTGCTCTGTTCCTTGCCCATCTTTGCACACGTTTTTCGAATGATAGTCTGCATGTTCACGTACTAATTTGCCAATGGATTCTCCCGTTATTGCCAAGATTGGTGCAGCAGGAGTTCTGACATCGACACTGCCATCCAAACTAGTCTGCTGTCCGTTTGTCTCTGTGCCTCCGTCTGTATGTTTGCCCTGTCTCTCTTCACCCTCTCCCTCCCTCTACCTGTCCCTGCCCACTACCTCTGTGCCTCTCTCCACCTTTCACATGCTCTCTTCTGTGCCTGTTCAAACAAGTCGTATTTATTTCTACGTGGTATATTCATCCATGTGCAGTTATGGCAGATACCGCCTAGCGAGGACATCAACCCAAAGGACTATACCAAGCTCGCACTATGGTCCGACAGTCTCATGAAGTGCCTTTGCTGGAATGAAGAACTGAGGAGGTCGTGTCGGCTGAAGGGCCTCTACACGGAGATTGATGGGCGTACGTGTACACATATCAATAGTCTACTCCAATCCAATTGTTAAGCTGATCCTATCAAGATTCTTGACATTGTATCAAGCAGTGACGGTGCAAGTATGTGTATACATGTGTAGCTGTTAAGCAAGTGGTTGAAAACTACTGGCAGTTACAGAATGCTCTTGACGATCTTGGACAGGCGGATGGAGATGCTGGAACAGCGTTGCAATTTCTTGGCGGACATGGTGGCTGGACGGTTCCAGCAAATGTTGAGATTCCCTGATGTTGATGGTGTTGGCGTCTGTCGGAGTGCAGATATTCTGCACATTGCAGGTAGTCGACTTGCGCCGACAGCAGCACAACAGCACAAGTCAAGCGTTTCAGATCAGTTTCTCCTGCACTATGCACATGTCCGAAGTTGTTGTCACACGCGCTTGCATGTCCGGATGTGGACAGATCGCTGTGCATAGACATGTGGCTGGTACCGGTGCTGAGCCCAGGATTGAGGAGTGCTTCAATTGCCTCGCTCTCTTTATTGACTCGCGTGTGGCCTGAGGGCACGAAGCAGCCTCTGAAGTTTGGTTTTGTTGCACACTACGCTGATTTTTCAGATTCTGTTCAATGCTGCTTCCAGCTCGGGGGGAGTTTACGGATGACTGGTGGTCTCAAACAGATTTTTTTCTAGCCCAATTCTAGGCTGTGCCCAAGCAACCACTGTCTTGTAAGTTGGCCCGAACTTCGAAAAGGAGAACACGGAGCTCTACTATCGAGCATTGCGTGCCATTCGCTCGGCACCACCGCCGGTACCTGTAGATATCCGGGTGGCTCTTGGCCTCGAGACCAAGAAGGAGAAGCTCCACAGCTGAAGATGGAAAGCTGAAGACCGGTTGTGTCTGCGTGCTTCCGATCCCTTTAGAACAGTGTGGCCCGTTTCACAACAGGTTGACAGAGAACGAGGCGGAAGCGCTCATGAATTTTGCCAGGCGTTACATCGAAGCTTGGACAGAAACCGCACTTTCGCCGGCATTGCAACGGCTGAAGTTGAGGCTCCCAAGCAGCATTCCAAGAAGAGGGTCCTGCAAGATGACTCCGACGGGTCTCCCAGGCGCGGAAGCCTCGATCAGCCAAGCAGTCACGAACGTGGAGCTCGCGCAGGTTGTCAAAACGTGCATGTCTTTCTTTTATCGTTTAGAAATAGTTAAGGTGGGGAGGAGGGGAGGCGCCCCATGGCATTGCGTGATCGCGTAAGGTGGCGGGCTGAGGGCCCCGCCCTTCGCCCCTGGCGGTCTTTTGTCCAGCGCGTTTAAAATGCTTGTGCTGTCGCGGCCCTGCAAGATCGGATTCAGTACTAGTTTCCAGCAGCAATTTGGCATGGCGACTTTGGCGTAGAGTGACTGGCAAGAAGTTGTTTCATTACGAGTGCATCTGCGCAGTTGCACTTTCTGACAAGTTACATGTCTGCACTGCGAGCCGTAGTAAATGTTGCAGTTGCGCACACTCTTGCGCCGCCCGGTTAGGATAGTGTTGTGGGATGTATCAGCATTTTCGGGCCCGCACATGACACCCAGTTTTCTGCCTCTTTTGCTAGTGGAATTCGCACCAATTGCCAGCATTTAGGAAAGACGGTGGGTTGCCTCGACTAGGCCGAACACATCACTGGTAGAAAATATGTCCCTGGCCCACTAGGAGGCTGCAACAAGCTGGTTGGCATGTGCCGGCCCGAAAAT